TTCTTTCTTCTCTCCCCTCCCATGGACATTTCTTATTCCCTTGAAAAGTCATGTGGTTGTACTTGAGTTGTTTGCTTTAGCCGTCCAGTCTGTTTTGTGTAGGCCCAGGGATTTGTTCCTCCTTTGTCTTTCCAAGGAGCTGTAGTCTAAATCACCTGGTATCTGAGGATCTCCTTAGCTCAATCCAAAGATAGGACTTCTCCCCATGGGTCTATATTCCCTAGAATTTAATCTCCCCCTCACCCCCAATATCTCATTATTTTGTTTCTAAGGAAATATGCTTCTCTCTTTATGTCCTGGCAGCTCTCTGAAAGATTCAGGGGAACTCTGGCTTGATGCTTATCTACATAAATAAAAAGCAGTGGATCCTTACAGAGGAATTCCCCACCCTTGTTGCCTCCTGTGGTCATTGCCAAGAAGATACCTCACAGAGGAGAGAGAACTGGCTAAGCCAGAGGTGGGGAGATGCCCCAGCTTAATTCCAGTGATGAAAGTGATTAATATGATTTTTTTTTTTTTTTTTTTTTTTTTGAAGATGTGTTCTTAATTCTTCTCATGCTTCTTTCGTTCCTCTTCTCTGGTGCTGAGCTACAACGAAAAGTAGAACAGAGGAGGCTCTATCAAGCTGGAAGCGGCTTTGAGGCTGGGAACAGATACCTTTCTGTCTGCTGATATTTCATTTACTGAGCATATAGGAGGAAAATCTCTTATCTAACATAGGTTTTTGTGAGATGGCTGTCATTGTGAATGAGCTAAGAAAGCTGAGACAGTGTGAGATTAGAGAACAGGGGAGTTTTTGAAACGTAGAGGCAATAAGAAGAAATTGTGTAGGTGCTACATTTTCAAATATCTATATGCAGTTAACAATGGCAATAGAAGTGCCCAAACCAAGAGGGAGTGGGGAAACATGTATGTTCCCCCAAATGTATATATGTGGATGAGGGGGAGAAGATGCAGACAAGAGTTCTGTAGAAATAAGTATGAGAAAAAGAGACCAAACTGGAAGAGACCCTAGCTGAGGTAGGGAACCTGGAAAATGCAGGTTACTCCCCTCCCCAGGCAAGTGGATGTGACAGCCATGCCATGTTCTGTGGGAAAGCTACCCTGTGCATCTCTTTTACGGTGAAGGCCTCTGGGTTACTTGCAGATTTGTAATTTCCCTTGGAGTCTCTGCCAGCTGTTTCCACAGTGCCATACTTCTGACTGCTATTGAACCAATTACTGATAGTCAGGAGAGACAGAAACATGGAAAGCCCATACTCAGGATTCCTGTATGGGTTCCTAAAGAAGCAAAAGGGTAATCCATCTGTGGCTACCTGCAGCTTAGTTCTATTTGAACCTCTGTACAAATGAATGGTTTGTTAAGTGGAGAGAATTTGGGACTTTTGGCCCATGGACCGTAAGGTGCTCCTAATCTGAGCTGAAGACAAATTTAATTCAGTTGTAGAAGCGTTAGGGTTTAGGGTACTGTTTAAACGAATTTAACCTTTCAACCAGCAGAAGCCAGTGGGCTGTGTATCCATAGACACGCATCAGCCAGTACATTGCTGGTCTTTTTCTGTTGCATGATGTGCCTTCAAAACACACCCCAAGAGGGCATGTACTGTGCGATCTATTTGAGTATTAGCCTTACTGCATTTCCTGGTGTCTTATCGTTTGCTACACCAACGTTACAGATGCCAAACCGGACATAGCACTTGGCATAACACTGGTGAAAACAGCTCCATCATCTTTTTGTCTTTAAGCCTTCAGCTCTTTTAACTGTGTTCTGGGACCAATCCCATTTTTTCCTGTCTCATGTAGATGAACGAGGTGGTTTTCCACCTGTTTTGTGCTCTTTTCTTTACCCTTTTTCTTTCTGTGTTCAGTCAGCGTGCCTGATGCAATGTGCCTGATTGCAAGACTGAAGTAATGGGTGCTTTAATCTTCGGAAGGGATGGGTTGATTTTCAAGAAGATATGGTGGTGCCTCTTTATGTAGATTGTAGATTAAAAGACAAATACCTGTTTTAGAAAGAATTTATGACCTCTGATTAACCTTGCTGATTTTTGCAAATGAATGATGATTCAGTGAGAGCATTTTCTTGTATGACCCGCAGATGACATAGTCCATTATAAGAAGGTTGAGCTGTATTGGCAATACCTGTACTGTACTGTTTTCACCTAACTGACCTAAATCCATGAAGGTAGGCTGTTACGCTAAATAAATCAGAAAATTTGTTCAGAAGAGTGAAGACCACGTGGAAGAAAAGTAGTTCTCCTCCTGTGGCATTCACATCCAGAACTCTGTGCCCCCAACCTTCAGTGGACAAACCACTCGAGGAGGAGAAGGTGAAACATCCTAGAGTGAAATATCCCCACAGACAAATAAATTGATCCAGCTGCAATCCATTGATGAACAACTTTATATGCATTACAAGCTACGGACAACAAGTGTTCTTCTAGGCAACAAATAATATCAGCCCCCCCCCCTCAGTTAAATATCTCAGCACACAAAGTAGAAGTCTGGACTTTTTATTTTTTCTTTTGTTTTTGAAGACTATCTCCATTTATTCCCTTTACTTATAATTTATGTGTGTCTGTGCAGCTACAAATAACATTGTTCCAGTGATTTCCTAATAATCAGCTGTCATTGAGGCTGATAGATATTACTGAAGATGATTTTGATTAAAAAGTACCATTATTCAAAATTTGCTTTGAATGTCACTTGAAAATCCCCTCTAACTAGTACCTAGAATAGTTCTGTGTTCCTAAAACCAAGGTGAGTTAGAACGATATGTACAGTTATGTAAGAACAGCACAGCAAAAGAAATGTGGCACAATCATTGTCAATTGTTAGGAATTGGGTTCTGCTCGTTTAAATAAAGTGTATTATGTAGAATGATGCAGCTTCTATTAATGCAGCAATCCTATGCCCAGCTTCTTGGAGCTTAATTCAATGCTTTGTTCCAATCGAAATAAATGGGAAGTTGATATCGTTTGGCTTGTATACCCAGTTGTATTTGCGTTCCCAAAGTTCCTCTGCCTTAATACAATCATTTTGTGTCATTTTAAATTCACAGTTACTCAGCCTGTCCTGTGCTGAGTGAGCTTCTTCCCCCCTCCCCCCCAAAGCAGGGAAAAGGCAAAGGGAAACGATGCCCAAGCTACACGCACCTGAGATATCTCGTCAGCTCAATCAACGGGATTATAAAAGACTGTAGCCAGATTGCAACAAGCAGCTAAAGAGAGGAGAGTGGTTTAGAAATAAGTTGTTTTTCTTGCCCTTTCCCTGGAGAAAAAGATTGTCTGGACTGGAAGATTTTACCGTAGCGCTTTAGCTTGAGAGCAACAGGACCAAGGGATTTCGTGAGAGGTAAACTGAGCGTTAGCTATGTTTGGCAGTAAGTGAATTAGGAAGCGTTACCACTAACCTCATGTTTTGAGGTGCATGAAGATCAGGGAGACTGAAACGAGAAGGTTTATGTGTGTGAGTAGGGAGTGAGAGACCCTAAAAAGCCTGAGTGGGAGGTGAAGTGCTTTCAGTGCAGTGCCTGGATGTACCTTTCTCCTGAGCAGATTGTGATAGTCTCGGGTTTTCTTCCTTGGAAATCCCATGTTTCAGGCTTTGCTCTGTTCAGTGAAGGAGCTACAGATGTGCCGTTCCAGGATACCATTGGCATTAGAAATTTCGGTGCTTCTAACTGACCATTCTGGCAGCTGTACTAGCCGGGATGATGCATCTTGAGGCATTTTGGAGAGGCATTTATAAATGGCTTTTATAGGCTGGTAAGGCTTTGTTACAGAAATAGCAGTTCAGTTTCTCTTAAATATCTGTTGTACATAGGTGCAGAAGAACCCAAAGGTGTGTCTTTATTCTCTATGCTTCCTGTCTCTGTATTAATAACTATTTTAGCATAGCAGCCATCTCCTAAAGCTAGTGCCTCGGTAGCTGGAGACTATCCTTGGAGGTAGAAGACTGAACTATGAAGCTCATCTGTACATAATCACTGCACAGATGCTATTTGTAAGCACTTGCCTTTTTGAAGAAATGACCTTCCTATAAAGAGCCCTATAAAGACTTTCATGTTTGAATTAAGGCTACTTTCTTTCCAAAATCAGAATTGCATGAGGAAAACTTTCATAACAAAAATATGTTTCCGGGCATTGCTTTTCTGAATGGTCATAACTTCAAAGAAACCAGAGGCCTTTGAGAAGAAACGTAATCAAAAGCCTAACCTCTAGTAAAATATGGTTTTGAAGAAAAATCAAACCAAAGCCAGTCTCCTGGATGTGCCTTTCCAGAAATCTTACAGATGAGAGTAAACAAAAATGTGCAAAAACTGTTAGAAGGGTGACGATTCAGGTCATGTGTCTGGAAGTCTCTCCACTTTTAAAGTGACCAGAGCAAAATATTCCAGAAGGACTCTTTAAAAGTGATGTGTGGAGAGAGCTTATATTCCTTCTCTTTCCGCTCCAACTCTTAAGTCTCTTAAATTTCCATTATCTCTTCTCCCAATTGACTAAGCAAGGTCATTTCTCACAAGCAGCTTCTCTCTCAAATTGGTAATGGACACTGAGCCTGTCTTCCCGCCTCCATCATCAAATCCTTTACCTACATGACATACTGTTTAGGCAATTGTAAGTATAAGCAATTTGCTATAGTAAAAGGAGGAAGAACGTTGTAAATCTGTTGTCCCTTCTATTCCACTTTCTTTCGTTTCCTATTACCCAACTCTTGTATTTCCCTTTGACTTCTCTGCTTTTCCCTCGATCTCTTTGTTGATCTTTTTTTTTTTTTTTTTAAATCATTGCCTCCCTTAATACTTTTCTAAGTGCATTTCCATCAATCTCTCTCTTGCCTTCAACTGGTGAATATTTCTATCTCCTCATGATTAATCAGACTCCAAACTTTCTTCTCTTAAGTTCTCTGAAAGATTTCAAGGATGCTGGCTTGGTGGCTATTTGTACGGATTAATAATGTCAATGAAGCTGCAGCAAATAAACCACACAGATGAAAAAGGAGCGTGAAACTCTGGGGAGATAAGGCTAAGCTTGGCTGAGCAAAGTTTATTTCATTATGAAGGGAGGTATAAGTAGTTGCATTCCCTCTCCTAAGTATGTGTCTTTGCTTTTGTTAATCGCTCAGGCTCTAGATTGAGGGAGGTAATTAGATAAGACGGTTTGGATGGAAGATGACTGAAGGAATTTAGAAATGGAAAGAACAACTCCCTTTTCTACTGGCGTCCTGCTCTGTGTGGCAGGACTGCAACTCGGCACCTCTCTTCTCTCCTCCCACCAAAGGATAAAATGATTCCTGCACGAGACTTGTTGACTGATGCCCCTTCTCACGCGCCCCTGCAAAAAATTATTAGAAGTTTTCAGTGTTGTTTCTTATCACCCACCACAGGTGGGGCATGCTAGTTATTCCTGTTTGCCGCGTCCCCTGTGGGAGCTGATGCCATAGGCATGCTCAGAAGACTCCCGACACGCTGGCAGGACTGTGCTTCTCAGAGAATTATGATGTTCATTCTCTTTCTAAAATGCAGCTGGAAGAGCTGCTCTGCTTTTTTTTCGTAGTACGATGCAGTGGTTACGGCAGCGTGATTGCGTAGGTTCATTTCTCTCCCTAGCAAAAGCGACTCAAAGCCATGTTCCCTACCTCTCGCCCACATATGGACTGGATAGTGATATGTTCCCCTCGCCTTGGAGGCTGTACCACCGTCCAACAAAGAATTAAAGACTGGCAGAACTGTCTTCTGGTATTTCTAGTCTAGTTCTTAGAATGCTTCTTGGGCAAGAATACTCTTCCCGTTTTAGAGGCTTTCTACACCTTAGATTCAGTGGTTGCTGATAATTGCAAAAGCCATTTCCGTCCTTCAGAACTGCACCCATAAGCCTGCTACGGTATCTAACTGCCGTTATCTTTGGCAGCCTGGGCTGGAACAAGGAAACTGTTTTTGTTCCGACTCCACAAGGTACTAGAAAATCGTGTGCCAGGACTGAGCCAGTTGTTCAAACGTTGGTTTTTTGGTATCCTTTTTGAGGAGCTTTCTATCAAAGGACATGCCCTGTGCACACATCGCAGAGGCTGGGAAGCTCCAAGACAGGCCTCTAATACCAGGAAGGAATAATTTAAAATGAGGAGAGCGTCTCTCCTGTGCCCTCGTTGTACTCATTACTAACATCTAGAATAAGACAACAAGGTGCCTTGAGTGTTAGGGGGGGATCAGTTACATGCAGAAGCACAGGAGAGGTTCTGAGTGAGAAACAGAGATTAATTGTGCGGTAATCTTAATTTTTATGAAGCTTCTGCGTAGAATAGAGCTAATAAGCTGATGCCTCTGTAAAGAAACGCCCTAAGTGAGCTGATGCAAATGTATTTTGACTCGGTTCGTTTCACCAGGGAAGTGGTAGATTATCCGTGCCTGGATAGTTAATAAAATAAATAATAAAACTTTGCTTCTTAACACAGAAAATTTGCTCTGTTGGTACTATTCATATATATATTTATGTATAATAGATATATGTATATGCACACACATATACGTATATGTACACACAAAGTCAGCTCACATAGCTTCACTGGTTCTATTGTTCTAGCTCATTTAGGCGCGTTGGCTCTCCTTCGTGGACGAATCATAGCAGATCACTCTGGCAGGTAAGCAGCAGTAGTAAAAGAGGCCATGCTCTGTAATCATACTTGAATTTCGATTCCTAGATGTTTCAGGTTAAACTTGAGTTGTTTCAATTCAATGGAAAAGGCGGGGGTATAAGTCCTTCTTTTAGTTTTCCTTCAGTGGGCCTCTCATGAAAGGGCCCACTTCTGAGCCATTTTAATCTCGAGTTTCTGAGCTCGAAGATGGTGTATGTTGTATATCTTCAAAGAGTTTAAAACTAGAAGGAACTACCTAGCTTGCCTTGTGCACCTTTGCTCTATTGTTATATAACAACAACAACAGTAGAGCAAATATCTGTTTTGTGCTGAATTGTTTTGTTTGATTAAAACTGGAAATCTTCCGAAACAGCATGCAGATTTGATTTGAAAGCGTACTTCTGTCTCTAACCCTGGGAGTAGGTTACTATTCCCAGTGTTCATTTCACCTTTAATTCTGTTTAGTGTCAGGGTCCTTCCGTTGGCTCTTGTAGCAGAGAAAAGAGCAGTCTAATACCTGTCGCCCCTTCCCTCTCCCCACAGGAAGGCTATTTATAGTCAGTAATCAAGCTAAGCGAATACAGACCACGTTGTTTGGGTCTCCGTGGAATGTGTTTTCCTCAACCCTTGAATGATTCTAAAAACTCTCGCTACGTTTTTAGTTTCTTCTGTATTCGATGTTAGGTTTGCCATATGCACTGGTGAAGTCACCTGTCTGCTACTACTTATTACTCTTCTGTTTTGCCTCCTAAGATCAGGGTAGCCTTTTTGCCACAGCATAAAATTCGGGAGCTCGTGCGTTGTCTGTGCGCAACAACTACTCCTCTGAGTCACTGCTCTCCAAGATACAGTCGTCCTCCCTGTTGATGTGGTCTGTATTCCTTCTTGAAAGTATCACTCAACATTTGAAAACAGGTATACATATATGTGAAAATACAAACTTTTGGGGGTAGTTTAGGTTCTGTTGGGATCTAAAACTCTCTCTGCTGACAGCCCTAACCTTATATATATTTTGCACTCACCTAGTACTCATACTATCTGTATATTTTGTCAGCAGGGTTGTTATGCTTCCTTCCAGATCACTAATGAAAATACTGAATGACGTGAGTTTCAGTCCTTTTGACTCGAAACATCATTTGATGATTTCTCATAGATTAAGTGGTAATTGTTTAAATTATGTTCTTAACCGATATTTGAGGTTTTGTTTTTGGGAGTGATGTGTTGAAACATTAGTATGTTCAGTTGGAGACATATACGGTGATCCAAGCGATGTTTTTTTTATGCTAATTAATCAAGTTTATTGATTCAAGGGTGTCTCCACTGGAGTTGTTATTCTAATCTAAAATGGGTTAGGGGAGATTCAGACTACTTACGTTAGAGAAAAAAAATAAGGGAAAATTTGTAAAACGCTATTCCTTTCCTCCTGGTTTTGCTTATTGCATATAATACCCAAGAAACCCAGCATGAACCTTTAGAACCTCCAGCATCAGACTCCAGTGTGAATTAATCTTGGATTTGTTTTCTAAGCCAGGTTTCCTGCAGAAGCCACCCTTGTATGATTACTGCTGATCGTGCGTTCCCTCACCTGTAAGATCGTGTTGCCTGCTCTTTATCAAAATTGACAGGAGAGCAACGGCATCAAAGACTTCTATCTCACGAAAGGGGTGAGACTAGGCAAATGAGTGCTAAGGAGACTGTGAAAGTCCTTGTGCAAGGAAAAGCTGAAACGGAAACTTTGTTCCTCATGTCAGATGATTTCAGAGGCTCTCTCAAACTGATTCTCTACGTGCCCGACTGTGAGAATAGCTTCACCCTGCTTCAATTCAGGTATCTAGTATTAGAACTGTTGGGCAGTTTAGGATTGTCTGGTTACCACTGCAGCACGGTTCTTGTGCCAAAAATGTTATGCTGATATTCTACCAACGCAGCATGGAAAACATTGAATAAGAGCAAGCTAATTAGGCAAATAAAGCCTATGTACTCTGTAAGACTCATTGTGCACAGACGTCTACATGACTGTAATCTTCCGTCTGACTCATAATTCCACTTCTGTGAACAGAGCTGTGCGTGGCGGATGCAAACCAGTCGATATGTAACTAGGGCTTGCTTACGTGGGTTTGCCTACCCACTTACAACGTGTTATATCACTGACACATAGACAGGTCTACTTGTGCCTGCCTGGCCGTGGAGAACACTATTCATACTAGACACTGAAAAGTGTGTGTGTGATAAAGGTAGATGCATTTGTAAAACAGCACTGCTAGCATCATTGCATTTTAATGTAAAGTATTTTACAGCTTAATGTATGGTAGCTGATTTTAAGTGACTGACTTCTCACTACTACATAATATAAGGCATAACGTGCTGATTTATGCTTGTTATACTGATCTTGAGTAATTCCTTCAACTTCTGCAGTGAAGGGTCTAGCTGAGGAGATCTTTCCATAGTCAATATACGCTCTTAGGTGTTTAGATTTTCAATACATTGAATATATTCTTTACAAATCTTTTAGGCTTCCAGGTGTAGTTTAAGCCCTAAGCATGCACATTTGAGTCAGTCTTTGGGTCAGTTCAGGGCCCAAGGAATTTTGAGTTATATCTTAAAAGATATTTATGAGTCAATCCTGCTATTTAGGTGACTAAATATCTTCAGAAATCTGATTTGTATGTTCTAAATAGGCATATCAAAAAAGCAGGAGTTGGTATACAAGAGACTGCATTAGATCAGAGCAGTGTTCCAGCTAGCTCAGTATCCAGAAGTGGATGCCTGAAGAAGGATATGAAAGCAGATTCAGTAAGGATTAATGATTATGTCTTTTATTTTCAGATATGAACTGGATGCACAGTGATGTATCCAATGCGGGAAGTATAATAATGACAGCTCTGGGAACTGAGGCAGTGGCTGACAGTGATTTAAAGGGTAACTGTTCTCAGGAATTACTCATCCCACTCCCATTGACCTACTAGGACCTTTGCAAATCCCACCTTCATGCTGAATGCCAAAGGCTAATCTTCTTATGCTCCTCTTGAGCTTGTGAAATAGCCTGAGCCATTTTAGCCTATTAAAATAGAAATCGACTTTCCAGGCTGCAGTTCCTCCTGAGGCTGCAAAGGGGTTTGTTTCAGCCTTGTAAAATTTGTTGAAGTGGGCACTAGAGCCACACACATACACACAAATCACAGTAATAGTGTATGTGAAAAAGCCTTCTCTGTGTTTCTGTGTGATTTTTCCTGACTGTGCCTTCAGAGAATGCACATTCTTAGCTACCACATCGCAGTAGGAGCTTACCTAAAAATAGTAAGCTATGCTATAAAAACAGTGATTTCAAACTCAAGTTCCCTGTATTATCCCTGTTTTTTCAAGCTGCGCGGAGTTGACCAGTTTCACACTGTCCTATCTTGCTATTCCACTAGGGCCTGTTGAGATTTCTGATGCACTATTTCAGCACACCATTATGAAGCTCCCATTTGCTGAATCAGAACTGCTTTTGTACATCAGCCGTGCACATGAACGAGCAAAGCAAGCAGGTATGTACCGCTTGTAAAAGTGCTTGGTGTAACAGCTTTACCTGTCAGCTGTGGGACATCTGCTAGAAGTTTGATACAAAATTTGCTCAACCTAAGGGATGATGATGCAAGTTTCCTGATCCTACAAATAAAGGTGCAAGCTGTGTGGGTGTAGGAAAATGAAAGAGAGGTTCTCAGGGTACTTTTAAATCCTTTTAAAATTAATTTACTTCTGATTGCCCTTATAAACTTTTAAATAAAATGCTGTCAGTAAGAAGCCATGATGTTCTGACAGCTAATGAGGTGAAACACTGCTATTCTGCTATTGTGTATAATTATACACAGGGTTATACACAGGGAAAGGGCTGTTTTGCTCTCTGAGCTTTGGCAGGTCGATCCCATCTAGCCAATGCTAGAACTGTCCTAAGAGCTTTTCAGCCCCCAGCCCTCTCCCCTTGTATAAGGGCTATGACACAAACAGCAGCAGGAGGTCTACTCTGTTATAGCACATTAGGACCTATTTCTCTGGAGAGATGTGAAGGGAAGGCCATGTCCCACTTGTGCTTCTTGGATCTATGCTTCTGCTCAGCCACACGCAAAGAAGCAGGCTGCGTATCTATGTAGAGAGTTATTTCCTTCCTCTGCACAGCTGTTAAGAGGCACAATTACTCTCCACAAGTACATCTCAAGGCAGCGCTTCATTCTACCACTACCAACCTGTTCTAGGGACCTGGCAGTGCATTCGGTACACCCCAGAAAATTGTGCATTCATTTGACGATGGGAGATGGTGTTCTGTTTCATGCTAATTTTTTTTTATTAACCTTTGAGCGTCTGATGAGAACTTGAAACCACAAGAGTAAAAATGTATTAACCTGTAGATTAGAATATTTGAGGGAAGAAGGTAAGGTGGGCTGTATCTAAACTGAGGAAACACTGCAAATCTTTCGGATGATGTGGAGGGAGCTGGTAATGCTGGGAATTCAAGCATAGTCTGCTATTAAAGAGTTGAATCTAACACTATTTTACTTTTTCTTAAGTGGCCTGTTGTTAAGGAGTTGAATGCAGCACTTAGACTTGACTTCTTTTGGTTAAGCTGATGATATGTACGAGTTTAACACCTTGCGCATCTCTAGATGGAATACAATTGCCTCCGTATGTTGTTATCTGCCCCATTTCCATGTGTAACATCATATTAGTTGTCATCAATCTCGTAAGCATTTAAAGGTTTGATTCCATCTACTCTGAAAACCGCTTTTCACCTTGTATTCCTCGTTGACATTTGAGACTGTTTGAGATGAATAGGCTAATGATCTGCTCTGAGTTAAGCAGCAGAGGACACTGGATTAAGTATTAGCAGTCAAAGACTCTCAGCTTTGATTTTCAGTCTCTTAGCAAGTGCAACACGTTACTCTGGTCATGTTGCTAATGGTATCGGTGCTCCATTTATAGTTCTTTTTCTGCAGAATGCAGATAATGAAAGACCAAAATTTAGACTCTGGGCTTTACTTCGTTAGATTGCAGTTCATTTTGAGTTAATCTTTTGAAAAGAAAAAAACAAACACCTGTGTGTGTGTGTGTGTTTTTTTTTTCCTGACCTTCATCAAAATCAACAAGGTTCTGAGCAAAGCAAGAGGTGCGGAAGTCTCATTGAAGGAGACGAAGGCGAACGCTCAGCGCTCTGTTCGGCTCAGCCCAAACGCAAAACAGGTAGGTGATACTACTTTTATCGTGATTACTTGCTGGGACTGTGCCTGAATTGATCTGAACAGGCATACACTACATTGCCTTCAGGGGAGCTACCATTTTTATACCATTTTAGATTGTAGCACCACGTTTGTTAAGGATGCTTAGAGGGAAACACAGTTAAGAAATGTAATTTAGATGTAGTGTGAATACACATTTAAAATTGTCATCTCACTTCAGCAGTTTCCATGTAATTTAACGTCAAATATAATCAACTAATCTTGTAATAAGTTTATGCTAGGTGAGCTATACTTAATGCTAGATTCTCATTTACTAACACAAAACAGTCATGATAATCACAACATTTAGTAATTTCCTAAAGTTGCAGCATCTATAATCATACAAATATGTTCCAATCTTATTTTGGAATTTAAAAGATCAGCTCTCTAGTCCTTGTCTTTATTTTCAAGCTCTCTTGCTCCAATATGATTGAATATAACCTAAAGGCTCACAGAGAAGGCAACAAATAAAGAGAACCTGAAGTTGAGACAGCGAATGTCCTGCTAAGTTTCCAATCCAATCACTCTTTATTTAAGCTCCCCTTTATTTTCTGCTCTATGTCAAGTTAAAATGTATACATGCGTTTATTTTAAAAGCGTGGATGTAGTAATGGTTGGGGACTAATCTCTGCTTGGTGTTCTGGACTCGGATCTCAGGGAAACACTGAATTAACAGTGAATTATGAATTTTTCACAAATGGTCAAGAGCAGAAAAGGTTATAATCTATTGTGAAGTCCAGTGTTAAACACAGATAACTGGAGCCTGCTCACTTGTAATCGAGCAGCATATGATTTATTCCTGCCTCCTTTTCTGCCCTGGCAGACTACAAAATATTAACTTTTTTTTTTTTTTTTTTTTTTTTTACCAGTTTGGCACTTAGGGTAAAAAGCCGCTGTGGGTGTAAGAAAGACAAAAGAGTTTAAAGTGGCAGGCTGGATTACAGGGAAAGAATAAATTCTTAGATGTGTAACTTTTTTCTCAGCTTTCTTAACACAAGGTGGTTGTGGTGGTTTTGCAACAACATGACGTGTCCTACCTATTTGCCTGGAGTGTCTTATCTGGCAGGTTTACATTTGCAGATGTCATGTTCCTTAGGATGAGTTAATTGCATCCTCCATTTATTTTAGATTTATAAAATAAAGTGGATGATGAAAAGCTTCCAATTAAAGTTGGATTTAAGCCCCTGCTCCTTAATCTTTTGAAGCAATGGAAAGTAGAAAATCCTTCGAAGTGGAAATACTCTACTTGCAGTTAGCGGTCTCCAAGATATGTTGCATGAAGGATAAAAAAAGAGGGATGGATAGGTGGGGTGAAAGCATGCAAGTCCAATGTTGAGCTCCCAGTCTTCCAGGTCCTGTATGAGCCTTGAGAAGTCTAAATTTTCTAGGCATACCTAGAGCTTGTAAGTCTAAACATTGTCAGTGAATTTTATTTACTGTGCATGGAGACCTGCATGCAGTGTCATACAGACCTTAGGAGTCCAAACCATTATCTTATTTATTCTCTATTAGGTAATGCTTCATTATTGACCACATTCACTAATCTTAAACTACTGATCGTTGCTCTTAGGGTGATGGGAGCTTACTGCTCCTGCTGTGACTGGCTTTCGGATTTTTCTGTTGACAGCTGTTGTTAATTCATCTGACTTCTGTTGGCTCTCTCCTTTCTGCGGAAGAGAGAAAGAACCTTTCCGCTTTGTTCTATATACTTCAGATTAGCGAGCTTCAGATCTGGGTAACGTTCCATGTAGTGGGTCTGAGATCAACAGCTGAAGGAATTGTCACATCTTCGCCTAACACAGTTTGCCTCTCCTGTTTCAGAACTTGCTAACATTGTTCTTTAATTCTTTGCTAACAGCTTAAGCTATCTTAATGAATTGTTGCAGGGTAGGACTGCCAGGAAAAGCTGATGATAACCCCTTGTTATTTACTGGTGACTGCATCTTCCCATCTCTCTAATTCCCCGTTAACCCCTTTTGCCCTATAGCCTGCACTCACTCTGCGCTCAAGGTGAGCTGAACTTGTCCTTTGGGTCGCTGCCTGCTACTTTTCAAGCAATCCTGATCTGGAACTAGCAGCAGAACCTGCCGGCCCCAGAATCTCTAGCTCGTGTGCACACTAAGGCTAAACAGTAACCGTGGCAGTGTGCTCCCTCCAGTGGCAAATGCGTCACAGTGAAAATGAAATGCGTTGTATACCACACACGCCGGGATGCTACTTAAGGTACGCTAAGCTTAGAAAGAAAACAAAACAAAAAATGGAAAAAGTTATAGGAAAGTTATAGGAAAAAGAGGCCAGGGTTAATAATATCAACACAGTTGTCCACAGGATCGCGTTTCTCTGCAGAGAGAAGCATTCTAGGCGCGCTGGGGAGAAAGATTGCTCCTCCTTAGATTTTCGTGCATAAATTCTCGGACCTTTCTTGAGGAGACAATTTTTAGACAATGTGGTGACATAGTTTGCAATGTATCAGTCACCTTATTTTGGAGTGCACTGGATACATTTTACTTCAGTGCTGGAATCAGATTTTTTTCCCCTTATGACTTGAAGACAAATCAACCCTTTTTGTTTGCAAAGGGTTTTGAAAGAAGGGTTTGACTAGATCCAGCTCTGGAGAAAAACTGCTGTTTCTTGCTTTCGCCCTCTAGGGAGAAATGTCTAGGTTTACAATTGACTCCCGTGCAGAAAACTAGTGGGAGAAAGTCTAGAGTAGATCAAAAATGTGATCATCAGAAAGCTGGCAGGGTTGAGAGAGTCGCATCATTTAACTTGGCTATGTTTTAGGAGCGTCGGCTTACTACGTAGAACCTATAAAGAGCTACGTAGCTTGGGGCCCCAAATCACCCTTGCCTCCTGACTGGTATAGTCTGCGATACCTTTATCAGGACTGGTCATACATAGTCTTTGCATTAAACAGTCATTGATTCAAGTCTTTAACTGGTGACCTAGCGTATTCTGTACTTGTTTAGTCTCTTTCTGGCTGAGTACGTCTTGCACCTTTTGCTGTGCAGTGAGGGTTTTGCTGGCAGAGAGTAAAAGGATTCTTATTTCCAGCTTGGGAGGGAGCGGGTTGCAAAGTGGGGAGGCACAGTTTGGGGTGAGGGGTTTTTTTTAGCCATTAGGCTGTTATGCACACCATGAATGGCATCTCTTCCTCTATCCATTACCTAAAATAAGGTGGATTACGTCAGGGCCCTGAGGGCACTAACAGACGGACCCCCCCCGCCCTGGCCCGTGGGCCTGCCTGGAGGTTACTGGGCTGCGTCTGACCCTGGCTACCTTCACCAGACCTGCTCCTGACCCTGAGCTGTGAATTGACTTCCCACCTTGACCTTGGACTTGCCTCATCACCGCAAACTTGTCTGGTGATGTGGACTCCCGGCTGAACGTCCCTGGGCCTGCCCTGCTCGCCTTGCTTGGAGGCTGTGCGATGGGGCACTGTCGCAAATAGCTGCCAGCATGATTTCCATGGGAGGAATTTATTTGCAATCTGAGTATTTGCAACCGTGATAAAATGCTCTCTTAAAATCTCCAGAACAGTTTAGACTACTGTAGGTGCATCCTTTCTCAAGGAAAAACTCTAGGGAAAAATTAATCTCAGCTTGCCCCCTTGTGGTACTGTCAGGCTGTTTATCCTGGAGCTGGATAAAGCTCTTTTTCTTTCTTCTGCAAATTCCTCTGTTTACTGCAGCGGCTGGAACAGCTCTGGTCAGAACAGACTGCTTAGCTCCTCCTTGGCCTTTCAGGACTTCAGCGGTCGCTCTCAATGCCAGCCAGCATCGTTCAGCTATGACAAAGACAGAATGCAGTTTTGCCCGCTGTTGAGACAGGCTTAACATCCGTGTCCGAGGTAAATGTCCAAGTTCTAGTACTTTTGCATGGAAGTCCCGCGCACTTAACCTGGAAAAGCTAGGCAAAGAAACGTAATGGCAATGGAAATAACATGTTCCCCCCGGGTTACTGCTGTTATCGCTTGTGTTAGGTATTTCTGAAGCATGAAATACTTCAGCTAACAACATCGAAAGACCTGTTTCTCCAGGACAATGCACAAGCTACAAATGCCACGTGTGCTGGATCTAGAGCCAGCTGCAGCCTGGTGTCGATTAAGGTATCGATTTGTAAGGAGCTTGAAAAAGGAGAAAAGACGAGGTGAAACACTAACTTTGTTTGTGGCTTAATTGATAACAGCAGGCTGTTTGGAAGCTAGGATTAGAAGGGACTTGAAATTCATGGCTTTAAGCCAAAAACTACCTCTTGAGAGCAGTTCCTGTACAGCAAGGAAAACTGTCACCACGTGGAAAATTACACACTGTGAATATCACAATAATGCCTTATTGCACTTCTTTTCTGTAGATGTGTGCTGACTTCTCTGCGTCCTGTCCTTTGAGTGTAATCCCACATTTTTTTCCCACAAATTAAGAGGACAATTCAAGCTTGCTCATAAACTAAAGGACGTGACAGATACCTGCCTACACACCTTACTGCTTGCGAGCCCAAACAAGGCAGATCAGCGTTCTTGCCTCATGCGCTATTATCCTTGCTTTTCACCGTGACACAGAGGAAGGAGCAACCAATGGGCCTTTTTCGTCTAGCATCTACTTTTGGACGTAGCCTTGGATACTAAAAAGAATCTGCCCGCGCCCTCAAGGTATGTCGTTTTTGAGAAAACTAAGTCAGTGACCACAGAAGATGTTCTTGGCTGTCAACCTATGGTGCCCCCTTCTCTGAGGGGAAGACCCAGACCCAGGGTCTGGGTGCCAGGTCAGGGTCCCTGCGTTCCCCTCCGCACCACAAGACTCCTCCAGAAACTCTTCTCCAAGAAGTGGAATACAGGAATGACTCCAGGGCCTCTCACACAAATAGCCTCTTCTTTCAGTCCAGCTTGCAGAAAGGGAAAGGGGCAATCTTAGTCTGACAGTAAAAATCTGTATCTGAAACCGTAGGAGAAAGCAAGACTCAGGAACAAGGTCAGTCTAGCCAGAGTGAATATTTAGTTATTCTGCCCATTTCCAATTACAAATAAATCTACAAGCCAAGATATGACTCTACTCTAACACATGTATTTTGATGAGTGCTAACTAACATAGACTAGTTTCTTGTAACTTTATTATAAATAACTTTATTTATTATTGTTACCCTGTTATTCCTCTAACTGTTGCAAGTTCTGGTTGAAAGTTGTGGGGGTTTTTTATTTGTGTTTTTATTTTTTTGGTTTTTTTTTCCTGTAGAAACTTATCCTAGGCCCATTTTACTCGAATTTGAAACGAGATAGAGGCCTTGGTGAGTTCAAATGTTATTGGCTGGAAGGAAGAGAGAGCTGAGAAACAGGTATTTTGTAAATCTCATTTTCTTGGAAAAACTAAGCTAAAAAGCTGAAGGTGTTTGTGACTTACAAGCTGTGATTTGTTTTTCAGATGAAACAGAAAAGGTCAAAAAGGCTAGTCCTTTTCTCTCAGGTCCAGCCAAAGCAGCTAGGTCTGCTGTTTTTGACCTCTTGCTTCCTTGGGACGCTCCCCGCTTCCCCTGTTTGAGTGTCCCTTGCAAAACTGCATGGCTTTAATGTTTGCAAAGCAGACTGAAGGCTCCGACTGGATCGTGAGTTGTGCATCAGCAGATGCAGAAGTGGCTCAGGGCATGAGCAAACAGTCTGACTCTCTGCTCTCCACTTCCCACAGCTAATTGCTTTGTGTAAGCTCTCAGCTTGCAGTGGAAACGGAGGTGAATATTTTAAAAGCTTTATACGGTAAAAGTGCACATGGGGACTTAGCACAAAGTACTTAAGCAGGGCAGCGGCTTGTGACTACTGTGCCTGTCCTTCAGTGCTTGGCTTTCTGCTTCCAGGGTAGATAAAGGTCCTGGCTGAGGAGAGGAGAATAACAGGTAAAGGTTGAGGTGACATGGGCTTGGGTCGTGGCTGGGTCCAAAGCTTCCCTGCAGTGTGATGCTGGCAGGCTACCAATAGCTGGTCTGCTGCAGAAAACTATTGGGAGCATCACAGTGACTGTAGCAGGTGTTTGCTTTCAGGATTGATGTGGTAAAATAGTAATTTATTAACCTGTTTGAAGCTGACTTGTGAATGATGTGGAAATCAAGGATCTTGCTGTCAAATGTAGGTCCTACTTGCCGTGCAGGACAAAGGGACCTTGTTCAGAATATATATAAAATCAGACTGTCAAACTCAAAAATTCAAGTAGTGGAATTAAGTGGAGAGTATAGGGGGTTTTTTAACCCTACAAGTGCCAACTGTATTTTAAGAATTACTTTAAAGTGCTTAAAGTGTATTTAGCCAAACAAACAAACAATGAAAAACAAATGAATTTCTCCTCCCTCTCCTCCCCACAAAAACTTCTCTGACCACTCACTGATTTCTGGGTTCCTCTTATGCACTGAGGTCAAGGTTTCAAGCTTTTTTGAGTAAGCATAAGGCAACACTTATTGTACCTTTTTTGACACTCTCCTCTCTGCTCTGTTCATGAATACAGGATTTCATCTGTTTTTGTGACTGCCAGGAGCTGACCTGTCAAGAAAAGGACCTACAAGTGCAAGGCTGACAATAGCACTAACAAGCACTGATACCACCATTGGAAATGCGTCCGCAGAGGAAAGCAAGCACAGGTCAGTGTCTTGGGATAAATACCAAGGCATTAGAAGTAGCAGAAGTTCTTCAGTCCCCTTCAGATTAGGTTGTGTCTAGTGACTGCCTATGAAAAGAAGGGATGTGGTGTCATAGCCTAGGAGTATGTTGCATCCTTTGCTCGCTCTGTCTGATATCTCTGTGATGGTCTAGTAGTGGTTGGGACTGACTCCGACAGCTGAGGCTAACGGAGCTCATTCCTTTATCTCGATCTGCAGCTCGTGAGGCCTTTGTATGCCTCCTGCGAAGGGAGATGTAATTGCATTATGTCCCTGATGCAGTCCCTTTAGTTTCAAATTAATTTAATTATGTTGCCATCAGCCTTCTGTTCCACAACACTGGGAGGTCTTGCTGTGGAAGGTCATATTTCAAGATCCAGATTTCCCAGGGATAATCCCTGCTGCTGTCAAGCTTTGTTTTATATCTGAAAGGCAGCACTTGCAGCACTGGGCCAGCCAATGTATTGTGAAGCACGCTGCGTTTCTGAAATCGCTGCCTCCTTAGACTTATAATCACGGAACAATCAGTATACAAGCAACCAGTGGCCACCCAGGGCTAAGATTAAATGATTAGTACTCTGCCTGGATTTTCAGAGGTATCTCACAGGCATAGTCCGAGGTCTCTGTTTATCCAGTCAAAGATTAGGAGCAACTAGGTGGTAGGATTTTTCTTTTTCTTAACAGGTCAGCTCCTGGCAGTCACAAAAATAGATGAAATCCTGTATTCATGAACAGAGCGGAGAGAGGAAAAAAAATAGGTGATAGTTGCGTGATATCTTTTTACATCCCTCATGCTGGGGTGGTGTAAAGCGCTTACAAAACATATGTAGTTTCAAAACACAGTCTATTCCCTCCCAAGATTAATCATCCAGGCAGATCGACAGGACACCCAAGGAAAATGCAGTATTAGAATCTAGTGTTTACAGATGCTGAAGGAAAAAGCATTCTATTTGGTTGACCAATGTAATTGGTCCACAAATCCACAGAAAGATCTAGGGTCTGTGCCTCAATGAGCCACTTTCCGTTAGGAAAGGATAGCTCTCGATCCATCAACTGCAAAGGTGTAAAACCATCACGAAAATGACTGTAGGCCAGTGACTGGAGTTCAGTGAAGGACTAACTAAAAACTCTGATATACGTTACATAGGAAGTAATGTGAGTTAGTCCATTAGTCTTCAATCTGTGAATCGATGCTTGCAACCCACAAAGGGGGTGTATAACAAGGGTGTTGGTGAGGCCAACCTGGAGTGTCTTCATGTGCGTGGTGGTGTTCTTCTCCAAATATTTGCAAGGAAGCTCAGTGTCCCTTCTCTGTACATGGCCAGGGTCGAATTCACCCATTTTGAAGCATACCAGAGCAGAACTGCATACAGTTTCCCAAGTTCAGTAATAAGGATGGTCTGCGTGGTGTATTCCTGTCGGTGTGGTACGAGCTCCTTAGAGGATTTGAAAATGGCAGTACCGAGTTTCTGTGAAATAGCATAGTATGAAATATATTAAGGGAATGAGGAGAGAGGTAGTTTTGATTTAGGGATATATTTGTTAGAAAAACTGATGAAACACAGATCAAGACTTGAGCTGTGTGTCAGAACTTGAGGTCACCCCTGCTACACAATCTCGTAGTGAAAACTGAAGAAAGATGGGAGAAGAACTGGCGATTCCTTTAGAAAGGTGATTGTATGGCGACTTTTGTTGGAACCATGTGAGTTCTTCAAGGCCTTACGATACAGGTGAAGTGTGTGTGGTGATTATTTTCAAGTTTGGAGTAACAGAATTAGCGGAGAGGTTGTTAGGTACCTAACTTTGTGAAGAAGATGGATAACTTGAGGCAGCCTTCTTCTCTGTAGGAGTGAAAGGTATTCTCCAAAAGAGGCAGGGAGTGAAAAACCTGTTTTCTCATGCTTATCAGATTGTCATCTAGATTTTCCCAGGATAATATTCTGACCTCCCTACTCATGCTTTAATAACATGATTCTTCAATAATCACATCCTTTCTATTGACTGGAGGTATGGAAATCTAAGCTTGGAGTCTCTCCCAACAGTGCAGTGCCCTTCTTAGGATATAGCTCCTAGCCCTGCTTTCTCAGCCTCGTGTGTTCCAAAAGGTATATTAGAAAGCTTGCTTGATTTCACCTATTTATTGTCCATGTTTACAGCCATTTGCAAAATGAGGACAGAATGGCCCTAGACAAATCGATTTAATAACTCTGATTCCACTTGTAGACCAACCTTAGTGCCTCGGTTCCCTTAGATCATGGCTCACAATTCTCATTTCAGCTCTCAAACTATCACCAGGGGTACTTCCTGCAAACTTAGTTTTTCCCCGTTTCTCCTTTGTCTTACCGTGTGACACACCCACAAATCAAGATACGCTGAATAAACTCCTATAAACAGTTTCTCTTTGCTGCCTCCATTGACTTGTAATTTGTAAAAGCTGAAGTAAAACTTAATTGGGAGCAGTTAAACTCCTGCACTTGTGCCAATTTTTCTTTCAACAAAGCAGGTCAGCTTTAAATGAAGAGCATGAAATAATCTTCTGACAAAAATATAAAAGCATGAAATAATCTTCTGATAACAGTAGTCCTGAGACTATTGACTTAGACTTTGAACAATTATGTATGTAAATCAAAAGATTAGATTCTTGAGCCAGCTGGTGCTGATGACATCCATAAAAGACCGCACAGTTGATCCTTGGAGGCTATGCAAGGATTGTGCAAGCAAATACATAAGTATTTGTCATGATTTATGAATGCTTGTTCTGACACCGGTTTGAGACCTGTCAATCTTTCATCCCATGTTCCTAATATGTTAGGTGGTAAACCACAGGGGTTTGGAATACGGAGCTAAGCCTAAACTGTGCCTAAAGCGGCTTATGCTTGAAGTTCATCCTAAGGGTCCTGGCAGCACATCCATCAAATTAAAACTTTTACCACAATAGGTATGGAACTAATTATAAACACAGTCTAATAGGAGCTATAGCTGTTGTATTACTGATTCTCATAATAAATTCTATTTACTGTCTGCCATCCCTACATGTTCGGTTGCTTTTGCAAAATACCTTTCTATGATGGTGGTGGTTCAACTAATTTCCTGAACATTTAGCTTTGAGGTGATTCCCTCGATGCACTTCACACTTCTGAGATGCTACAGTGGTTACACTCCATGTTTTCAAGCGTTTCTTGGCATCAAAAGAGCTTGGATCTGAAGCAAAAGCTATATAGGTCTTAATTCTTTTAACCTTCAAAGAATACATAGATGACTGGGTCATGGTCGGAATTCAGGTTCTTATATATGTGTATATATATATGTGTATATATATATCTCCTTAAACGTCAACCTATGTTGAAAAATTTCTGACCTTAACTGAAAAACATGCAAGTGCTTGTTTTGTCCCTGAGCACAGGTGACAACGTGTGACCGTTTCCTGCTCTTGTATGAGGATGTTTCTAATATAATAATCCTCTAAAAGGAGCCATTGCAATTCAAAATTCATTTATCTTTTTTTCTTAATGTATTTTGAAAAACCAATATAAGTGAATTGTTATCTGATTTTTGTGTGCCAGGGCGCACTACACTTGGACTGTAAAGGAACAAAATATAGAACATAAGGAACACTAAACATTATTATAATTATCAACATGTAAGAATCTTTCCGAAGAGGTATAGACTATTATTACACATTCTCAAAGGCACAGATAAGGGTGATTTGTGACTTCTTTTCTTTACTTCTCCAAATGCAATTGTGTGCCAAAATCTCAGTTAACCCAATAAATTGTGTTTGGCAAGTAATAACAATTTGCATAGTTTGACTAACACAGTAGCTAACTTCCTGTTTCTGCTTCTCTCTACCTAGTGGGGAAACAGATGGAAGAAGATCCAAAAAGATGAGTCGTGGTGAAATATGGATCCAATCCCCTCAGGTAAAACGAGGCAATCAGATAAACTAGTAGGTGCTAGGCGCATGTTGTGCAAGAAACCGGTCCAGCTACAAAATACTGTTCCTCCCTTTTAATCTTGTTAATCACAGAACGGTTGAGGTTGGCAGGGACCTAGGGAGGTCGGATCTCCCTAGTCCAACCTCCCTGCTCAAGCAGGGTCCTCTACAGCATATTACCCAGGACTGCATCCAGACGGGTTTTGAATGTCTCCAGCGAAGGAGACTCCACCACCTCTCTGGGCAACCTCTTCCAGTGCTCGCTCACCCTCACAGTCAAGAAGTTTTTCCTCAGGTTCAGGTGGACCTGCCTGTGCTTCAGTTTGTGCCCGTTGCCTCTTGTCCTGTCACTGGGCACCACAGAGAAGAGACTGGCCTCATCCTCTCGACACCCCCCCACCACCACCACCCTTCAGATACTTGCACACATTGATGAGATCGCCTCTCAGTCTTCTCTTCTCCAGGCTGAACAGGCCCAGCTCTCGCAGCCTTTCTGCAGAGGAGAGATGCTCCAGCCCTCTAATCATCTTGGTAGCCCTCTGCTGGACTCTCTGCAGTAGGGCCATGTCTCTCTTGTCCTGGGGAGCCCACAACTGCACCCAGGACTCCAGGGGAGGCCTCCTCCCCAGGGCTGAGGAGAGGGGCAGCATCACCTCCCTCCACCTGCTGGCAACACTCTTCCTCAGGCACCCCACGATCCCATTGGCCTCCTTGGCCACAAGGCCACATTGCTGCCTCATGCTTCACTTGTTGCCCACCAGCACTCCCAGGTCCTTCTCTGCAGAGCTGCTTGCCAGCAGGTCAACCCCCAGCCTGTCCTGCTGCCTGGCCTTCTTCCTCCCGAGGTGCAGCACCTTGTGCTTGCCTATGTTGAACTTCAGGAGGTTCCTCTGCGCCCAGCTCTCCAGCCTGTCCAGGTCCCTCTGAATGACAGCACAGTCTTCTGGTGTGTCAGCCACTCCCCCAGTTCAGTATCATCAGCAAACTTGCTGAGGTTGCTGATTGGTTGCTAATTGGCAGAATTAATTATATTGCCCTTTTTTGCTCCCTCTCCTTTCCCTCAAATAAAAGTGAATAGAATGTTCCCCTAGAGTGAGGGGGTGTCTGGGATTTTATAAGACAATTCTAAGTGTGCAACACACCCAATCTCAGTTGAGGTTGGTTGAATAATTGACCAATATTTTAATTTTCTGTTTCCCTTGGGAAAAACAGAAGTATCGTATGGGCTCATTACTAAAGGTGAGAGGTGGTGAATGCACATTGGTTACTCATATATATGGTCTGCAAAAGGTTTTTTTGATTGTTTGCTTTTCTAATTTACATGCTTCTTTAGACTTTTTCTAAAATATGTTTCAATTGTTAATAAAACAACAACAGGAGACCTGATGATAAGAGCTGAAAGTACAATTTCAATTATGAAAGAGAATGTTAGCAGGTAAGTTGGTAACTGTCCAAAACAAGTGGAAGGAGCTCAGAGAGAATCTGAGTAGAACTCAAGAACTTCAGTTTTATCTTAGTCTTAAATTTGGGCTGCCTATACAGCTGCTGCTGTATAGGAAAAAGAGAAAGAAAGAGTGCAGTAGCATTTACATACAGAATGCCCTTCTCTTTTTCTGGATGATATATTCAGTTATTGTGGAAAGCTGCCGCAAGTTTCTCTGTAATTTGCTTTGGGGGTGTGTGTCCAGGTTTCTCTGTATTCTCCCTGCCACTGTCATTGGTCCGTGGCAATATAACTTCTAAATGTTATATTGTCTCTCTGCTGACTTTGTATTGGCCTATAATAAAAGACATATTTCACTTGCTCCATAATGTAATTTGAGATTGCTTTTGTAATTGCAATGATTTTGTTGTTGCTAAAACATAGGAGTTGCTAGACTGTATCTTGGGCCTTTTCGAAATACTACCTTCAGCACAACAGCAACTTCTGAAGATTAGGAAAGGGAGAAATTATGGCTGTAAACCACATTTTTGAAAGCCCAGAACTGTGACATTAAGAGTGACAATATATTAATTCCTCTCTCCCCGCCAGACTGGCAGTATGCAGTGGAAATCAGCTGAGAATATCCCAGGTACTCTTGCCGTGTGAGCTGGATGGTGAGAACCCAGTTTAGCAATGCTGTGACGTAGGGTTATCTGGAAGAGCCAAGAATCTCCACGGGGTCTGAGCCCCTCCGTCTGACCCCCTTGCGTACAGAGGACAGCATTACATGTGTCCTTTGAAATAACCAGCGTAACTCATGTCCAGTGGTAAGTGCAAGTGTAGTGCCAGGCTCATGGGCAAGAGAATAAAAGGGTTCAAATTCTATCGCAGGATAGTAATCCATAGGGGATAAACTATGGCCTACCTAAAATTGAATCGCCCATCTCATTGCATTGGCCACAGAGTTTAAAGCACCTGGCCCCTTAACTTAGGCACTCCAGTTAGAGGCTTAAGGTTAGGTCTAGATGTAAATGTTTGGCCTGGGAGGGAAAACGTAGGCTAATTCTCTTTGCTGTCCTGAAACAAAGTAATAGTCAGGGGAGGAGGAGAGGAAGAGGGGGATTGGTAGATTAGGAAATCACTCAAAGACTGTAAAGATAAGGTGATCTGGGCATGACCTTAAGTCTATGTTTTCAATTTTTCAGATGACTGGCTTTGACATATTTTAACTGTTTCCAGGTTTTCAGGTGTCTCAGTTTGCAGAACAGCTATACTGGGAAAAGGAACAAGATAACACAAAGCAAAGTTTACCTAGATTGATAAAGCTTTCAGTTGCTGAAATTCCTGCATGTTGTTTAATACAGGAGGAATGCTTCCTGTGGTACTAGGTGATCAGGCACTTTAGTTTTATTTCATGTGTAGATTGGAGTAGAGGTGGTGTGTGATCCTTTATTGTGTCTTGCCTTTCGGTGCTCTACTGCAGTTGCGATGCACACCAGCAGCCGCCTTGCTAAGTTTGAGGTGCGAGGAACAAGGCTGATGAGAGAAATCACAGCCCCATTGGTGTTACAAAATCTGCGCTGTGGTTTATTGTGCAGAATCTTTAAGCATGTGAGCACACGCTTCTCCCAAAACTTCTCATACCCAGCATCTTTTTCAGATTATCTTTTCCTTTTTGTCCTGTTAGTAGTATTAGAAGTTATTCCATGTTACTGTACCCCCAGGAACCAGACTGTTAGAGGAATGCCAGTTTCCTTTGCTGTGTAGCCTGAGTTGGAGAGAAATTTGAAAAATACATCAGACTGAGTATCCAGTGAGCTGTTCTTCCCTAGTTGCAGCGTATAGCAATGGTTCCCGCAAACCACCATCCCACAAAGAATATAAATTAAGAGTCCAAGTCCCTCTTTTCCCTTACCCAGTAAGGTAACCTAGTCATTACCCTGTCCTTGCGACAGTATTCATAGTTTAGCTCAGATGGGTTGTAAATGTGTTTTGAATTTCCATGGCTCTGGGAAGCCTCTCCTCCACCTCGAGGCTCTCATCTGCCCTGTTCAGACATGTAGGGCTGCATATTTAGTGCCTCTTCAGCACTGTATAGGAACTTCTGGTCTGATTTAGGTAGAAGTATGACAAAAATGTGGTAACTGGTGATCTGGTGCTTTGAAAAGCAATCTGGAGTGCAGCAAATGGGAATAATGTAGGGTTTTTTTAAGGAGTTTAAGAAGTTAAAAGAGAAGACAAGTTAGGGGGAGAATGCTTCCATCTATTTCCATAACTTCTGCCAGGGGTTGAGGCACGCTCCCTGTGATCATGGGTGCAGCTATCACCAGAATAGGGCATCATCAGTTTTACTAGCCAAAAGGGTGTAGCATGCTATGACAGAAAAGAGATTATATCATTTTTCTATTCGACAGATATGTTTGTGCTGCAAATCTTGAGTCATACACTGATGCTTTTTAGGGGGCAGTAGAAAAGATCTGTTATTATGAAAGCACATGTTGCAACAGATGAAAACGCAAGGATACAGTACTGCCAGTGCCACCCATCCAGTCATACCGTATTTTTTTTTATTCTGAACTTCTAGCTGTTCTGCACATTCTTTGTCTCTTTGCTGACCTCCACTGGGTCACATTATTTAACCTTTCAGAAATTTCCACAAAGTAGCTCTAACAAACTTTGCTGTGTCATTATCAGGAGGACCTCTCAACGTGGTGCTAGCTAACTGTGGAGCACACTAGTGGAGCAGTGGGGAACATCTGGAAGGAATACAACCAGCATCAGCTCTGCCACATCATTTACTCCACTGAAACGTATTTAACAGAGGCTTGCTCACTTGGGTCTTTTCTAGGCTAGTGTTCAGGGCCGTGAACGAGGTGCAAGGAAGAATTTCTAAAAACTTGCTGAAGATCCTTGCCAGCAGAGGCTTATTGCTTCAAGGATGTGCTTCCTCTGTGTGGCTTTAGAGGAGGTGTTTTGATCTTTCATTCACAGAAGTAGTGGGGGAGCTGATGGTCATTAACTAGCCCCAGGATGCAAAAATAGTTATGGGATTTTGAACTGGAGGGAAACAAGGAACAGCTTGCTTAAGATTCATTTTCTTATGGATATGGTATGAGATCTGTAAGGATTTTCATGTTCTTCAAGTAACCAGCTTTTGTGAAAGCTATGAAGAGTGTAAGAGATGTTTTGTTCTACTTTTACCCGAGCCCATTGCTGTTTATATTTGCCAGCTTGATCACTGAACAATGAAAGCTAAAAAGCACAGAACAGTTAGAAGCTGTCTAGGAGGTGACGGGCATAATTTTTGGTGAATTGCCAATGACG